AAGTAATAAATATGGAGAATGTTTTGTCATATATATAAAAAAGTTACAAATTTTATAAGATCTCGAGGTTTAAATCAGCGTCAATTCACTGCTTTCTTAAGTGAGTTAGATAGTGAATATTCGGGTTTGTCCTACTATACCGAGGTACGTTGGTTATCTTGCTCCAAGATTCTCAAACAATTCTGGGATTTGAAAGAAGAAATATGTCAGTTTTTAAATGTACTTTTCATGTCAGTTTTTAAATGTAGTTTTTAAACTTACGTCTTGATTTAACGAAAAATCAAGACGTAAGTTTCTTTTACGATCCAATATGGATACAAGATTTATCTTTCTTGGTTGATATAACCAAACACTTAACCGATTTAAATTTATCGTTACGAGGAAAAGATCATATCATTACGAACATGTTTGACATAATTAAAGCATTCAAATGTCAACTAGTTCTTTGGGAAAAACAACTTAAAAATGAAGATTTTACCCACTTCCCGACGTGCAGCATGAACAAATCAAGTTTAGATGATAACAAATCAAAAATACGCAGAAAAATTGCAAATTTAACAACTGAATTTGAAACGAGGTTTAATGATTTTAGCTCCCTCGAAGACAAAATGTTTTTTGTTTTCTTCGATTTTCTCAATAAGTATTGACTCAGTACCCATCCATATGCAAATGGAGGTGATCGAGATTCAATGCAACTCAAATTTGAAAGCAAAATTCATTGAAGTGGGCGTGCCTAAATTTTACAAATATTTACCAGCCAGGTTTGAAAATACTCGAAAATTCGCATATGAAATTATTTCCATGTTTGGTAGCACTTATCGGTGCGAGCAGTTATTTTCAGTCATGAAAGGTAATAAGTCTCCTATTGGAAACCGTATTAATGATGCTCACCTTGGGTCAGCGTTGAAAGTTATCACTGCAAACAAAATTTCTCCCGAAATAGGAAAGATAATAGCAGAGAAGAGATGTCAAGTATCAGGACGTAAACATTAAATTTTTCTTGTTCTTTTCTATATAAATAAATATATACTATATATATGTTTATTATTGTATTATTCGAAATAAATCTACGTTTCTATGAATATTGATTTTTTTTTTGGGGGGCCCGCCTAAAGTTAAACCTTGTTTGTTTGGCCCAAGTGTACCTATGAGTTTGACATCCCTGATCTAAAGGGTATCAAAATTTACAACAAAAACAAAAAAAAAAAAAAAAAAAAAAAAAAAAAAATAAAATAAATAAATAAAATAAAATATAAAATAAAATAAAAAAAAATAAAAAAAAAAAATCTGAATGTTTCAGATTTTAAAATTACGTCCAAAGGGGCGTTTTTTAACATTGTGTGTTACCTTTCTTTATTAAATATCATGTTCCTCGCACTTAAACCATAAGATCCAGTGCAACAGCAATATCGCAAAATAGTTTTAAAACGAGTATATCTTTAGAATTTCCGATACAGAGACTCACGCGCTGGAGATAAAAATGTTTTTTCTGCACAACGTTGCCATTGCTCGCTTTGAAATCCTAGAGTTTGTTAATCAAAAATTCGTCAAAGTTTTAAAAAATAGGAAATCGATAATAAAACAAATTCCAAATTTCAAATTTGGGATTCCAGATGCCCATATTCGTAGTAGGATTACGTCATTCAAAATTCGATTGTTCTATGTACCGTTGTTTTATCACAATACGAGAAATATACATACATTTATGCAGATTTTTCATTATTTAATTTCTTCAAATATAATGCAGGACTCTAACATTTTGTGGCAACAGTTTGAAAAGTGAACCGACATTTATGAGTCCGACGCAAAATGCCAAAACGAAAACAATAGTCCTTCAGGGACAAAGCTCCTTTGGACTAAAACAAAAAAAAAAAAAAAAAAAAAAAAAACTTAATATTTATTTGCTTACCTTATTAAATATTTCTTTCAATGTAAATTATTTAAGTTGCTTCGTTTTTTTTCCTAATACTTTCTCTTTAATTCTGTAGACAGACATAATCACTTGTTTAGTTACATGGTTGAAGTTCTGTAACTGCTGTTTCGAGAATTCCGACTAACTTGTCAATCGAAATTTTCTCGTTCTCAGTAGCTTCTCTGTCACTTTCTTCACTATCGGTAGCGTTATTTTCTGGATCTAGAACCATACTACAGATTTCGACATTCATTAATTGATTGATGATTGAGAAGCATTGTCATCACAATGAAAATCTTCTTTTATATCATCTCCATTTATTGCCGCTTCTCCACATTTCTTTACAAAATCCGTTAATTGGAAAATTTCACCTTCATTTTGCGATATCCGAAAACCTTTAAAATTCGCTGCTATCATCATCAAATTTAGCTATCCTTCACTATACATATTTGGCCATGCATCATGAACTTGGCGACTAACGACAAGTTGTTACGTTAAATTTTATCTTGCTTCTATCGCGCACCGAGACAATTAACCCTGAATTGTATTAGTTTATTTATTTATTATACTTATGTCTATAGTCTATTGCACATGCTTAAGGCTTATCAGAGTTCTGAATAAATAAATTTCCACATATACTTAAGCCTTATTGAGGGCCGGCGCTAGATATCTTACCGCCTGATGCAGTCTCTGTAGGTCCTAAATTCTGCGACTCGATGCGGCCATACGAGCCCTGGCGCTGATTCTGGGTTTATGTGAATAACAAATCAGATATTCTTAATTCAAATAGCCCTAAATATTTGTGTCTATGAGTATCATCAACAAAATCTATTTTTAGGGTATGGAAAGAAATTTTTGGTAAATATTTCCTCGTCAGCATTTTTCAACGCATTAAACTTAAATCTGTAATCATCGCCAAGCGTAACGTCAACATAAAAGGTTACCATACTCCTTTATTATTCAATTACTAACATAAAATAATTGTTTAGGGATTGCTACATGCACTCAAGTTGACATGTTTTGATAAATATGCGCTGATGAAAGGAAAGTATAATAAATAATGATTGGTCAGGTTGGCGTCAGATCAACGATGTATCTATGTGGAATGTTTTGGTTTGAGATGTGTGCCAAAGCAGATAAGTAGCAACGGAGCCAAATCACTGATCGTACAAATTTTACTAAAATGATTGTTTCTTCAATAATAAGGTATTTTATTTAGAGTCGAAGTGAAATTAAGAATCGAGTCTATCCAGATGTTTTATTATACAGGAAGGGGTAATCAAATGCGCATGCGTAAAACCTACGAGAAAAACGGTTTTGAGGTCCGGAATTTAGATCATTTCGGATAATGGACGTCCGGATTTCGGACCTTGTACTGTACTAGGATTTTACATACGAATTTTCCTAAAAGTAATATTAAAGAAGGTTTAGTAATTGTAAATGAATATTATTGCTCATGTTATGTTGCTCTCATTTACTAGATTACATTTTTACGATAAATTTCTGTTGTTGTTGGGACTGATCCTCCTAATCTGAATACAGTCTCGATAAAATTCACGATTTCATACTCTTTAAGAGAAAAAAGGTTGCTGCTGTTTGGGATCTCGTGGATGAGAGTACGAATTGGCTCAGGTACAGTACGACTTTGTAAAGAATATACTACCTTTTACTAATTCAGAAGTCATACAACAAAAATCAGCGTTGTCGATTCTTACCACAACCTCTCGTGAGAACTCTCGACTCGACGGTATTTTATAGGTCCTACACCGCAAAAACATTCTGAACATCCATACCTTCTCCGTGTCCTTGTTGACGTTAAACAAAGCCTGATTACAGGTTAAATCAGCATTTCGAAATTCCAAGTGTAGCCACTTCAAAACTTTATAGCCCGCGCTTGGAATTTCGACACAAGCGAAATGATGCCCACGGATATATTATCTGCTAAATATTACCAGAAAAGATCAGGTGTTAACAAAAATTTCAGAGCAAAACTGAGATAAGGAGAATTTACCGAATATGTGCCTAAGATCTTTTGGGTATTAATACATTGCTTTATACCAGAAATTCGGATATGCAAAATACTTCCTTACGGGACACGATATTCCTTATAATAGAGATGCTTTTTACATGAACATTATACGGAGGGGGAAAATAATTTATTTATTTGCAAACATATATTTTTAAGAAATGTAACTCCCGTATGTTATTCTGATCTTTTTTTTCTTCCTCCTCAGGTTGATATAGGTGATGCCGTACCATTAAAAGAAGATGCAAGTTTTGAAATCATACCCTGCCCTGATGAAGGTTTGTGCAATAACTTTCTCTTTAAGCCGCATTCTTTTTTTCAGTATCACAGATTTCTAAAGCAGGATAAAATCAAATATAATGAATAATAAGAAAGAAGATTTATTATTTACCAAATAAATAAATAAATAAAATAAAACAAAATAAAATCACTTTATAAGTAATGAAATTTTTGTAATGTATATAATATATAAATTATATCAAAAAAGATTAAAAACGCAATTGTTGTTATCATTATATATATATATCTATATTTATACAGAGTGATACTAAATATCAGGTAAAAATATAAAGGCAGATAGAGGAGACCGGAATAATGACATATTGTAATCGTACAAGCGTGCGGAAATCGTGCTGTTGAGACTGTCGTTCCCTATGCGGTTTCGAGCAGTGCGCATCGCTACATGAATGCGGAGCCTAGTCTAGTCTAGTTTATTGCCGAATATCTAGGCTATTGCCGAATCTAGCTATTGCCGAAATGTCGCGCTACTGCGCCACTTATCCGGCTCTTGAAAATAAGCCCGAAGGGCGCATGACATTGATCATTCATGACGATTAGGAGAGGTCAAAGGTGGTTTACAGGGGGCGACCATGAGTCGCAAAGCCATTGAGAGGCGAATGCAGCTAGAAATTCACGAAACAGGAGCCGTGAGGAATCTGAGTGACATGTTTGTGTTGTGTCATAAAAGAAGACCTAGACAAAATCCGACAATTTCTATCATGACATGTGAAGTAATACATAACATAATAAAATAAACATAATCATGCAATATTGTCAATAATACTACAAATAACCTGAAATTAAAAGGATACAAAATATTGATGCAAATACAATTGAGAACCTAAATAAAAATATATACACTATATACACTATGTAAAAGAACTGTGCATAATTATCATGATAAATTACGTGGGGAAATTTAAGTCCCGGGCGAGGTGGGCCGCGAGTGGTCGTAACGATGCATCTTCCTCAAAAATTACATAGTTCAAAACATTAAGATCAGACATATGAGTACAGTCTTGAGCCTTTTCAAAGAATTTAACATTGGCCTTATGCAGATATGTTTCAATGGACTCCATCTTAAGGTCTCGATGTAGGGTCTGATTGGAGACGTAATAATGTGCGTTAGTTATCATTCTTAAAACTTTGTTTTGAATAATTTGGAGCTTGCTTAACTCCTTTTTCTAAACTGTTGTCCAGGCGGGAGATGCGTACGCAAAAATAGGACGAATAATGGAATTGTAAATATGCCTTTTCCTCTTTATATCTAATCTGGAGGTTGCAGACAGGAGCGGCGTAAGACTTTGAATGATCCCAATAGTCTTGCCTCTGACATAATTTATATGATCTTTCCAGAGGAAATTTGAGTTATATTTTAGTCCTAAGTAAGTAGCACTTTTGACAACAGGAACGACAGTATCAAAGAGCACCAGCTGGACAGTTAAGGGATGATTCATTTTATTTTTCTTAAAAATCAGAAGTTTGGATTTGTCAGCATTAATTGCAATTTTCCACATGGCGCATCATTGTTCAAGCTTGGGCATAAATCTTTGTAGTTTCTTTACGGCAAAATTTGGCGACCCTGACTTGACAGCACAAGCTGTGTCGTCTGCATAGCAACCCATGAAGAAATTTTGATCCAGATGTTCTGCAGGTAGGTCTGCCACGTAGAATAAGTAGAGCACAGGCCCTAAAATAGATCCCTGCGGGACCCCGGCCTTCACTTGCTTCTTATTTGAAGTGCTTTCACCAATTTGAATATAGAATGTCCTGTTGGAAAAAGAGTGTATAATTTTTATCAACTCACTGCTGAATTTTAAGTTGATTAACTTGTAAATTAGCCCCTCATGCCAGACGCGGTCGAATGCCTTCGCCACGTCCAGCATGAGTAAGGCAACGTATCTTTTGTTGTGCAGTGCACTGCCTATGAACTCATTCAGTCGTACCAACTGCTTCGTCGTAGAAAGGGCTTTCCGAAAACCAAACTGTTCGAGTGGTAATTTATCCAGATGTGGCTGTATACGGCTAAGGACAATTCTTTCGAGTATCTTACCCATACTGGGAAGCAGGCTAATGGGCCTGTACCCTTCCGGTTTCGTCAGATTTTTTCCCGGCTTTGGGAGCACAATCATCTTTGCAGACTTCCATATACGTGGAAAATAACTATTGTACAGGCAAGCGTTTAAAATACCTGTGAGACGGTTGACCATATTAATAGGCAGCCATTTCAGCGCCACATTGTTCACATTATCCTGCCCGGGGGCCTTTCTATTCCTGAGCTTCTTAATAATGTTTAAGATTTCTTGTGAGCGAAGTGAAGTTCTAAATGACTTTTGCATGTTGTTTTTATGAATCCATTCTGTCACTGTGAAGTTCACAAAAGTTGAAAACTCCTGATTGCATGGGGAGGTATTCGTGGTGAACTGCTTCTCAAAGTGCTCAGCGAGCGTGTTACATTTTTCAATATTTGTGAGTGCAATGCCTTGCTCGTGATAAATTGGCCTATTTACGGTGGGTTTATTTTTTAAACGTCTAACGAAAGACCAGAAGGAGCTACTAGGCTCGTTAAAGCTCTCAATCTTCTCATCCCAGAGATCCTTACGGTGAGTAATGATCTGCTTTTTAATTTCCCTACTGAGTCTATTCATCTCTTTCTTAGTATTTGGATCACAGGTAAGATGAAACCTTTTTCTAAGTTTATTCCTGTCTCTGATCAGATTTTTGATCCTATTCGGTAACTTATTTGTGATTTGTCTTCTGGGAATTTTTCTCGAGGCCGAATGATAGGCACTTTTTATATCCATCGTAAGCTGTTTGGCAGCAAGCTCAATGTCATCAGGAGTGCGTAATTTAAAGTTATTAGTGTGACATTCAGAGAGTATTTCATTAAAGACCTTCCAGTTTGTCGTGTTGATGTGCTCGTCCATGACATCCTTAGTTGTACCTAGGGTCGCAATGACCGGGCAGTGATTTGAATCCAATTCTTGAAGCACTTCAAGATCGAATGAGAAGGAGATGGTGGAGAGGAAAATATCAAGAATGTCACCAGTATTTGTATTTTGTGGCACATTTGTGTACTCACTAGGAACATGAAAATAAACTGGGTAATTCTTAATGAATTCAGATAATTTAATTCCATTTTTATTCGTTTTCCTACAATTCCATTCCTGACTTCTAGCGTTTAAGTCTCCCGCAAGTATGACCTGCTTATTGGTGTCCAGAATTTTGGCCAGGTAGTTGATATCAAGGATATTCTTGGGAGAGTTGTACATAGAATTGAAATATACATTTCCATAGTGTGGAAGGAGGACAGACACGGTGACTAGCTCATGCCCATTGTAGCGCTCATCATTGATCATACAGGATTACAGAGAGTTGCGGACAAAAATCGCGACCCCCCACCTCGGTGACTTAGACGGTCGCATCTATAACATATATAATTTGGAATTTTTATCTGAGTACTTGGCGTAGCAAAGGTTTCAGTAATCAGAGCCACGTTTATGTCATGACTCGTAACAAAGTTTGAAAGTTCCGTGAGCTTGTAGTGAATGCCTCTTGCATTCCAAGTCATAATAGAGATGGGAACATTTGTAGGTCTAACTTGACCCATTATCAACGATAGAGGAGTTTTTAAGCTCTTGATTAGTTTCTTTAATCTCTCTGACTTGCTGCGATATTTGAAACCCAGCATTTTTTATGACGGAAACGAGTTCCGCAAGGTCAGTGAAGACTTGCTTTGTTTCACTTAATATATCTGAGTATAGGCCTGTGGATAGCGCCTGTGAATATGATTTGTTTTCAATTACCCTACTGGGGAAACTGCTTGGTTTGTCTGATTTTCTTTTGGGAAATTTCTCACATCCCCTGAAACTGGAAATGTGGGAACCCCCGCAATTTGCACAGACTAGAGGCTTGTCGCTGTTGTTCTTATCTGGGCAGTCTTTAACGAAGTGCTCTTTGCCACATCTGACACATTAGGGTGCATAATTGCAACTCGCTTGTGTATGATTAAACCCCTGTCAACGAAAACATTGCAGGGGTCTTTGTCTACCTAAATACTCTTTAAATTTAACTTTCATATGACATAAGAATCTCTCATTATAGATTTCCTTTGATTTATCATTTTTCGGAAGAGATATTAAGAATAGTGGGAGTTTGGTGACTTCTCCGTTGCGGCGTCTGGTCATTTGTTTAACATCTTTAATTTGGTAATCAAGTTGCTCAAGTTCGGATTTAATATCCTCAATCTGAGTGTTTTCAGTGAGTCCTCTAAGGACAACTTTTAAATAACGGTCCTCAGGGAGGATATAAGAATGATGTTCAACTTGTTTTTCCTTTAGTATTTGAACAACAGTCCGGTAGTCATCTGGTGATTCCGTAATAACTTTAATACTCCCCGTAGGAATATGTTCCCCGTGAAATTTGATTTTTCTTTGAAGGAAAATAGCTCTAATTTCGCTCCATTTCAGTATATTTTCCTTTAGTGTAATCGGAGGAATTCTGGAATTTCTATTGTTTTGTTTCTGATTATTTGAATTTGTGGCAGTGGAGTTTTCATTATCCGGCGAAGTAGTGTCTATGTTTTCATTCTTCTGTGTGTGTATTTTCACTGACTGCTACCGAGGTAGCTTGTGTATTTGAAATTCTATCCTGACTTTGTGGTGTATTTTTAGAAGGACTACCAAGCTTAATTTTCTTAAAATTTGGTCTTTGAGTACGATCCTAACTGTCTGATCACCTTTAGTCTTTGGCAGGTCTTCATCAGAACTTGTAGTTTGATCCAGGGATATTTCATTTAATGAGTCAAAGTTATTATGTAATTTAATAGGACTTCTGTCTCTATCATTTTCTGCGTTACTACCATGTGACGATTTATCCTGAGTTTTTTATTAATCCTGTTGTGTTAACTACAACTAGCATATCAAGCATACTGAGTAAGAAGTTATGCATCTTACCTTCAGTGTCAGGTAAATGTGCCATTTTTTGTTGCGAATAGTTTCGAGTTCTTTAATTTGAATCCTCACGGCATCCAGAATCGTATCCATAATCGCAGTCCAGAATCAAGAAATCCTGCGCCCAAATCAGTAATCCAGAGTCCCGCGCCCCGGAACCGGACCCACTCAACGGCGCAGACGGATGAGCGGGCGAAAGTCTACTAGGCCCCTGTCTCACATCTGACAGCGTGAGCCTGAGGGTAACTAAGCAGACACAACGACCAAAATCAAATTATTTACCCGCACGCAGTAAATTAAAGTAAATCAGATTTTTAGTAAAAAATACTTAAATAATTAACGCAATAAAGCGCCGCCACAAGCAGTATCAAAATGGCGTGGTATCACTCGTGCCAGCAATTAAGCGTAATTCGCAAGAAAAAGCGAAAAATAATTCTTATAAAATAAATCAAAATAATTAAATAATAAAAGCATCCAGGCTTTTATAAAACAATACCAGCCTTCGATTAGCATTTAAAAATGCTGATGCAAGAGGATTGTATTTGCACGTGGTCGCACTTCGCAACACACGCTGAATCAGACAGGGCGTAGACGCAGCAACAGGATCGGAGGCAGGCACAATCTCGACGACGAACCTTCTCCTTCGGCGTCCACCCCTCGAATGAAAATGAATGCAGCTGCCGACAGCATTTCTTTCCTTTTTGACTATTGCGGGTACTTGCAGATCAACGCATACCGCTGTCATGAATTAAAAAGTCATCGGTATAGCAAATGCATGAGTGTGTCCGGAGGACAGGATGCAAAATGAAAGGGGTGTGAACTTTTCACGTGAGGCTATCGGTTGGTAGTGGAGAGATGTTCCAAGTTTCAGTACAGTGTGCATTTTTACAATATTCAGTGCATAAAACATCAAGTGCATTTTCTCACTCTTAGAAAGACTATATACAAAAAAAAATTTGGTTTACAAAGTAAATTACGCAGGGATCCAGCAGAAGCAGTCAAAGATATCTCTATAGGGGTCTTTTGATTGGCTGTTGAGACGTGGATGCGAAAATCAATCAGAAAATTTGCTATTTACAAAATCTTATTCATTGCAGAACATAAAAAATTTTCCAGTAAAATAGAAGGTAAATTAAATAAAATAAAAGAAATTTGAAACCAATAGGAGCAGAGAGATCTACAGTAAGCAGTAGAAGACTTTAGTTCGTAGTCACGTGGGAGGTCACCCTCCCGTGCCTTGACCGATAGTGCTGCGTAACTTTAAGCGTTTAGTTTTCCAAGTAAATACAGGGTAAAAACTTAGGTTGGAATTCTGATTTCATTGAGGATAAATGCAGTAAATGGTCTAAGGTGCCTGTCTTCGTGCAATATTCATGTTCAAAGAGGTTAAATTGCCTGTAACAGCTTTAAATAGTATTAAAATCTTGGTAGTTTAAATAATTTAAATAGATGAACATTAAGTTATTGTAAATGGCAATATTTGAAACCAGACTCGAGTGCCACGTGCGACTCTCGCACGAAGAATTTATTTATTTTAAAATGATAATATGTTTTCTCTTCTTGTTTGTATTCGCCATTTTTTTTAGTGTTAAATAAAAGTTATGCTGTGTTCCATCATTGGAGTGCTTATTTCGCCAAAGAAGTACAACGCATATATTGCAGTCCTGGGCTTCTCTGAAGAAATTCCGATTTCTTTGCGATGAACTTATCTAAGGGGTCGATCTTGAGGTCATCTGTAGACACTTATTTGTCACGAAATAATGAGCATTCGTAATCATCTGAGATAGCGGTTCTGACAACACATATTTATTGAGGTCAGTTTTGGTCAGGGCGGCCCACGCTGGGGAGGCGTAAGTAATGATCGGTCTGATCGCAGACGTTAGATGAGCCGCTTTTTTCCCACGTCGAGAGGGAGTATTTACCAATAATTGGGAAGAGAAATTTGATAATTGTAAGGCTTTATCCCTGACGTAATTTATATGGTAATCCACGTTAAGCGATCATTATAAATCACTCCGAGTACTTGGCATGAGGAACAATTGGAACAATTCGTTAAATAGATAAAGTCCTCTTTTGACAGGTGTTCCTTTTATTTCGTATGAGAAGAAGTTGAGATTTGGCTGCGTTTATTTGGACTTTCCATGCGCGCACCATCTTTCAATGCCAGGAATGACATCTTGTAGTTTTTTGATGGCGTGATTATATTAACAACTTTACTGCCAGGGCAGTGTCGTCTGCATAACAGCCAAAATAGTGTTATTTTGAGATGCTTGAGGAAAAGTCAGCAGCATAATAGATACATATAAGGTCCTAGAACTGACTCTTGCGGAATCCGCTATGGATATTCTAGACGAGGAGATAGCACCGTTCATACAACACAAAGTCCGGTTGTAATGAAGGAGTGAATTGTCAAGATCATTTCTCGTCCACTTTAGCAGTAATTAATTTGGATATGAGCCCCTCATGCCAGACGTCGAAGGCTTTCGCCCCGTCCAAATGAAGGAGCAACACTTTGTTTGTTATGCAAAGCAGAGCCACAAAAGTCAGTAATGCGTAAAGCTTCGTAGTAGAAAGGTGCTGCGGAAACCAAATTTTTTCCGGAGGCAACATGTTTAGATAGGATGCATACGTGGAGAATAATGCGCCATAAATTTTTCCGAGCGCAGGCAGAGACTAATAGGTCGATAGCCATCTGTTTCGTGTGGTCCTTTCCAGGTTAGGAATTAAAATAATTTTGCACTTTTCCACTGCTGTGGAAAGTAGGAGTTAAATAAACACGCATTTAAAAATGCTATGAAATTCGCTACTGCACAGGGAGGTAACATTTAACTGCAGTATTAAAAATGCCATCATTTTCGGGAGCTTGCGTGATTTGAGTTTTTAATAATTGAGACACTTCTACAAGGGTAGCAATTTTGGAAATATTTCGTGCTGTGGGGGGCATTTTCCAATTTTTCACATGATAGGGTGAAAGTTCAAAGTTTCTGTCCACAGTCCAATCATTTGGCGTAAATTGTAGTTCCAAATGCGAGGCGAAAACTTGCTTTATCTTCATTGAAAGTGCAAACAACTCCGTTGTGAAGATGGGACGATTGGTAACAAAATTGGCTTGAGGTTTTTTATTAAAGTCCAAGAGATCCGTCACGGAAATCTAGTTGCACATTTTTTCACACCAAAGTTCGTCCTTGTGTGCTTCACAGCAGTTTTATGTCCCGTTTAGGCAATTTATCGCCCTTTTGGCGACGGATCCAGGTAAGGTTGAAATGTTTCTGAGGCGATTTCTATGCCTCATCATTTGACGTATTTTAGGCGACAGTAGGAAGAGCGTGTTTGTATTTACACTGTATCACTAACATTTTCAATAGCCCTTTGAATTTTTGAGGTAAATGAGGATACTGCAGAGTCGA